AAGTTATCGCGTGAATTGCATCTATTGTCGTTTTATACAAATTATTTATGTAAAATCAAAATTATACAAATTAAATTATTTAATGAATTTTTAATTAAATTACCTTATTTTTTGAAAATACAGTTCAAATTATAATATTAAAGATTATTTACATGCGACCGTGATGAATAATAATCTTTTTTTCGGACCCTCTATAAAGAAGTTTCACTTTAAAAAATAAAAAAAATATATAATTATTTTATGAGAAACAAAGGATAAATATTGCGTTTTTAATAAAGTCTAAATCCGTACAAATTATTTAAAAAATGGTAGCACAGTGGAATAGCGGCATAGTATAGATGTGAAATAGTTGGGACAAGTATCGATGATATTGCTAATTATGAATAAATGATCTGCTAAAAATTTTCATCAGAATCAAAAATATACTTTAATTATTCAATTATTTATTTGTTCTAATATCAAATCGGCAATTATATTTTTTGTATCACCAATTATTTTCGATATTATTACTAATTAATTAAAAACTATAGGGTATAACAACGAGGAAAATATTTCTGAATATTTCAATTGTATCATATATTTAAACACCAAGAGTAACATAGAAATTATTAATATTTCTTTTCAAATGATTTATTACGATAAAAAAATAAATAAAATTGTTTTTAAATTATTAGAGATTTTTATTTTCAATATGTTAAAAATATTCAGTGCAAAATATCATTTTTAATCTAATTTTTTAGTCTCTTAAGATGATTTTTGGATTGTTTATAATGAAAAAACCCACCACAGTGGGAAAGTGGTATAGTGTGTCAAGTATAGATGACTTTTGACAGTGATAAAAATCACTATCATAAAAAACTCTTTGATACAAATCTATAGATATTGTTTAATTTTAAATAATTGGTGGATTATTCCAAAAGCTACGTGATCTCCTATTTCCTTATTTATTTTACAAGATATGACTTATAAATGTAGTATATGAATAAATATTTATTATATCAATTAAATTGTGATGGTTTCATGTTACCATTATTGTGAGAATTTATTAAAATAAAATACAGACAACACACGCGCTTCCAGAGACTGATGAATTAACAAATAATATTTATTGCTAAATTGGCAATAGTTCAAATCATTATAAAATCCAAAAGACCTGACCATCTTGGTCAGTCGAAACCAGTGCCATGTGTCATATATCAATATCAATACTCGGTTGTCGCTGTCCAGCTTACTGTTTAAAGTAAAGTTTTTGTTTTTCCGTTTTAACCTACCTACTCTCTTCCTCTTCATTTCAGAGTACTTGTATCTTGCAATTCGTATAAAACTTATATAAAAGTTGAAGGTCTTGATGCAATACTTAAAAAAAAAAATTGTTTGTTATTTATAAATAGATTGACTGGTCTACAAGGAATTTCCATCCGAAACCAAAATATACTTTTCTAAACTAATTTTTGCACCGATTTAAAACCTGCAATTAGAGTTTCGCATATGGCCTAAATGATAACAAAATCTTTCTAATTAATATAACAAATATTTATGTTTGAATATTAGGTCATGTATGAATAATCAATAAATATATTTTAATTTATTCAGTTAAATATATGAATAAATATATACAGGGAAATTATTTTATTTATAAAAAAAGTATGTCGAATGAAAAAAGTATATAAATAGTATTTTTCATAAAAAATTTTATTGATCCATATATTTTTCAAAAAGTCATATAATTATATATTAAATATAAATTGTTTCTATTCATCAATTTTTCAAAATATTTAGCACTTTTAAGTGAAAAAAAATGTAAAAATGTCGAAAATTAATGATTATTAAATTTTGTAATTATTTTGGAGATTTCCCGTATTTGCGGTAACAAGGGAAATATTTTTAATTGTTCAGTGTAAAATCATCGACTAGATACACTTTGTGATCTTTTAGCGTATCGTTGAAAGAAATCGGTTCGGTAAGAGCTGATTAAAAGTAGTTACAGACATAATAAATATAGTTTAAAAAAATGAAAAACACCCTTTTAAAGCATATCGAACTAAAAAGTTAAAAATCATTTTAAAAATTAGCTTAAAACAATAATGAACGAAAAATACTAGTATTATTTTGAAAAAAAGCGTCGGGCGCTCAATATACGAAAATTATGGCACAAAACCCCTACGCTTTTTTGATATATGATATCTGACAGTGATTTAAATCACTATCATAAAAAACACTTCAATGCAAATCTATAGATATAGTTTAATTTTAAAAAATTGGTGGATTATTCCAAAAGCTACATGATCTACTATTTACCTATTTATATTTTGATTAAGTTTTATGATTTATAAGTGTAATATGAATATATATACATATATTTATTATATATAAATATATAAAGAGAAATGGTCCAATTAAAAAAAAAGTATGTCGAATGAAAGAGATAAACAAATATTATTTATCTTAATAAAATTATAATGATCCATACATTTTTCAAAAAGTTATAGAATTTTAAAGTTAAAAATATAAAATCGAGAATATTTAACACAAAAATAGCATTTGGTAGCTATTTTCACCGTGAAAACAAAATTAAGTCCGAAATTATTTTTTTTCAAAATAAAGTATATTACATAAGCTTTAATTCAATATATAAAAGTTAAGTATTTCCGGAACACTTTTAAAAGCTTAAGTTGAAAAAGTAAATTTTTTGTGAAAAAGTTGTCATTTTAAATCTATAAGCAGGTAAAAAGTCAGATTTATAAAAAAAATAAATTTTGCTTGTCTTATTTCTCTAAAGGATTATTATTATTATAATGCATTGACGTTAATTACATCTCTCGATATACAAACATCGAAAATTAAAATCCAAAATCATAAAGTTATTTAAATAAAAAATCACAAGTAATAATACTTTATACTATTAAATTTTATATTATTAATGCAAACGTTAACTTAAAATAATGTTAAGTACATTCTGTTTATACACTCTATACAAAGATGTTTGAGCAACATGTGGGAGAAACTGTCCAAACTACTCGAGATAATATTCCTCGGAGCAATACGTTGACTTTAATCAGCATCCCCGTTATAAAAACTCACATCATAAATTAAAATCCAGAATCATAAAATCATTTAAATGAAAAATCATAAGTAATAACACTTTGCTGAATTGGGCCCTCGAACCTAATAGAAACAAAAAATATTTTGTTCCTTAAGTTTGTAACCCATATCTATCATTTTTTATCAGTACATCAAGTTCACAATATTAAGGAAAATAATCATCCGCACCTTTATTTGGTTATTTTTTATTAGATATTCTCATATAATTTAGATTATTACATAATTTTATGCAACTATTTGTGTTTTAATGTTTTAAATAATATAAATTTTTTAATGAATTATATGATGTATATTTAATTTATGAATACTAATGTATAATAATTTTACAGAAAAAATTAATACACAATTAATTATATTGAAGAACCAAATCGGTTCCGGTGACATAAGCCCAAATGAAACGAGTACCAAATTATTAGAATTCTTAGAATTAGATGCATCACAAAATTCAGAACACCTTATAAAGTGTTGTGATATTTTTCACAAGAATTTGTTTGCAGTAGAACAGCCCACGGTAAATAATTACAATTTCAAATAAAATTAAATTCTCCCTGTTTCTTTATTGTTATTTCAATAAGAAAAGAATTACTTTCAAAAAGTCAATTTCTAAACAAGTGACGACAAGAATGTAAATGTATTATATTCTTTCATGAAATTTTACAGCACTATATTATATTAGTTACAAATGAATACACTTCAGTTTAATTTATATTCATTTCAATTTGTTACTATAGCCAAGGTACTAATTTTCATTATATTTTCAACACTATCAATTCTTTTTTCTAAATTACGATGTAAAATGATGAAAAAATTAATGAATCTTACTTCATTTGGTCTCACTAATTAATATTCTTTAAAATAAATAATTTTTAGTTAATTTTATAAGTAAAAATAAAGTTGTATTATTTGAAGTTAAGATAATTTTTTAATAAGTATTTAGAGGCTATACAATTTTTATTAAACTACGGTGACTTTTAAATTAACCGACTCTTCTATCGCATAATTATCAAACTATAATATAAATATTTACATTACACAGCTCTTATAATATCATTTTAATTACAAAAAAAACATCTTTAGCAAACAATGCGTACCGTTGATATGGACGGTTTGATGGAATTGAGATATGCTACAGCGTTTAATATTCTGAAAGATTGCATTACACAATATAAATATTTGGATATTTCTGTGGAAGATATTTCATGGGGTAATTAAACTAAGCACTATCTATACAATGTAAATAAATTAACTGACATTTTTAATTCACTTAGTTGATGATAACAGTGACCCAAATTTAGAAGACTATGAACCAGGTTTAAAATCAGCCACTCTTAAAATACTAAAGGAAGTTGTTGATCGTAATATATCACCAAACAAATTTATTTCTTTGATAACAGAATACGTACATGGATCTAATTGCAAAAAACCTTTTGTTACCTATTGTACTGCTGCTTACTACACATATTTGATTACTTAAGTTCCACTTTAAATAATATATTCAAAGAATGTAGTCAACTTGAGCTTTGAAATAAAAATTTTCTTTTAGATTTTATGTTATAAGTATTTAAATGTCAATATTTTTTCTGTGTAATAATATGGTTTAATTAAATTTTTCTTTATAATATGTTTACATTTTTTGGTATTTAAAACGTTTTGATTTTATCTTGTTTATCGTTATTAGAACGTTTTAAATAGTTCATTCAAAATTATTGATTTTTTTTTTTATAATTAAATATTTTTGGAAAAATCCAATAGTTTTAAATTCTTAATTTTTCCACTGCATCTCAATACATTATATCAGTAGTCTATTTTATATATTGTCATTCATTAAGTATACCTATAAAATATTATTATCTTTATTTTCAACATTATTACTTATATAAATATAAGTTTGGTTGTTTTATAACTGAGTTCAGTTTTTAATATAACTTTTAAGTAATAAGCAATAGTTATGACTAGGGTGCGGATTAATATGTATTAAAAATTAAAAAATATGTACATATATATGTATTTATTTTTATCCAAATATGCAACTAAAAATACAAAATATTTAAAAAAAAATGTTTTTATTCTTAAAAAAAAATACATTCAGAATACAAAATATGTAATGCACCTAAAAAATACATTCAAATCAAATATTAGCTAGGATCTTCATCGTCAACAAAGCAATGGACAATCATGTACTTCTTTAGGTTGTTAAAGGTAAATCGACGTCGATTAGGACGAAGTATGTTTTTGTAGCGGCTAAAAGATCTTTCCACGTTGACGGAAGTAATAGGAGCAAATTTAAAAGCCCCTAAATCAGCAAGACTAAATTCAAAAGAAGTTTGCGTATCACTGCCATTGAGAATGTTTGCAATAGCTTCAACTGTCTTTAAACCAGAGTTCTTACTAAGTACTTGCTCAACTTTATTCTTAATTTTTATTCCAACCTGCCCAGGGGATTCTTTTAATTTTTTGACGGTGTCGGAGACAATACCTAGGCTATCAGCCAGGGACAAGTTTTGAGCTTCAAGTTTTGTAATAGAATTAGATTGTAATAGATGTAGTATTGGAGGATATGTATACTAAATTATTTTTTAATGAGGTACTTTTAATTAACTTTTTTGCATTTTCTACTGAAACGGCATCTATTTCGAGTTTTGAAATCACATCTTCAATGACACTAAAATTGTCGCAATAATATGCAGCAGCTTGTAACCAAGTACCCCAACGAGTTATCACCGGTTTTGGAGGAAGAGGTGTTTGAGGATAATTTTCTTTAAATATATGTACACGACTGGGTGCTTTCAGGAAAAGTTTTTTAATAGTTGATATCAAAAAATCAACTTCGGGAAATTCTGATCTTATTGTTTCTGCGACACGATGGAAAGCGTGTGCAAGGCAAGTCACGTGAATTAATTTAGGATAAAATACATTTAAAGCTGTTCCAGCTTTCACCATATANATTAATAAATATCACAAAATTTTATTCAAATTCTTTAGTCATTTCAGACAAAAATTCAAATAAGAAAAATGAAAAAAATCATATGTTAATCCAAAGTAAAATAAATTTATTAAAGGCCATTGAAAATTTTCAAAATTTTAACCTTATTCAATTCAATTGTAAGTTTTTACAGGTATATGTAAAACCATCAAGTCGTTTTATATTAGATTCGACTTATTTTTATTACATTCGTAATACTATGAAAATAACTCAAGATTTTAAAACTATAAGTTTGCAAAATATATTTAATAAAATAATTTCATTTTTATTAGGTAAACCTATACTTTACAATTATAACTTAAATTCTTATATGAAAAATATTAATTTTAGAAGAAACATTTTATATTCTAAAAGTATATTTTATAATTCTTTAAATAAATATTATTGGTCTTTTCAAAACTACAAACATTCTTTTGTTAAATACATCATGAAAACGAATTGCATTAAGCATATCATTTTTATTTTTGACCCTGGTGGTTAATATTTAATATAATTATTATCACTTAAAAAAGGTTTAACATTGTAATACTAACATAAAAAAAAATGTTTATATCATTATATATTATTAATTTCTTTATTTTTAAGTCAAATAAATATTACACATTATATTACTTATATGTAAATTATTCATAATTTATAAATGATATAAATATACAAATCATATGAAAGCAAACTTTCATAATGATTTAAATGGGTTAATGAAAGATTCATTTACCATATTTAATATTTTTATATTATACATATTTAATTACACCATGTCTACATGTAAACATTGAATATCTTAAAATGTAATTTTTATATTTCACAACATTGTATTATTTATACAATCAGTAATTGTAATTTTATAATTGGATCGTAAAACAAATAATTTTGTAAAAACATCACAATTGTAAAGCAAGTTTCAGCTAGTTCAAATCATTATAAAATACAAAAGATCAATGTGAATTAAGAAAATACAATGCATACTAGTAGTGGTAGTTAGAATAATTAGTTCAGCCATGATGAATCAGCTTCACCAGATGAAGACTTCGAAATTCAAATTATCAGCAAAAATCAAGNAAAATTCAAATTATCAGTAAAAATCAAGGAATAAAGTGCTCATACAATATCAGTACATATGAAGAAAAACAAATTAAAGAAATCTATTTGAGTTTGTAAAATTTATTTGAATTTGACATTCATGAATTCAAAAGAAATATACAACTAAACCAACTAAAAATGTGAAGTCCAAAAACAAAGAAAAATCATAGATTTCCACATCGAATAGCACTTCTATAATTATTATTTACAGAACCAAATAGCAATACCTTATAATTACAAAAGCAAAAATTCTAGAAGAACGAAAAACGTCTGAACTTATTATTTTAAATGACTATTACTATGTATGGAGAGAACAAGATATCGATATATCAGATAACATTATATACATATATTTTTTTTACGCAATTGTTTGAATTAGTATTATCACTATTATTTTTGCATAAATTTAAACAAAAATTGTATATTGTCTTATTTTTTTGCCACTATACATACTTTTACACCATCATATAATTATTTTTTTTTGTATTCTATAATATTTTTTTTTATCTTTAATCTTAATCATTCAAATGCAATTTCTCATGTTATTAACTTTTAAATATTTATATTATCTACTAATATTTAATATTCACATAATAATTATTCTATATCATAAATACTAAAATTATTAATCAACCTTTACTATACAATTATTCTTATTATATTTAATCAATTTTTTGCCTATGTTAAACTATAGTTGTGAGGACACAACACTTAAAAAAATTAGGGCGGATGTCGTAATATGCCTAATGCTTTGCATTACGCATCTTACATTTATCAATGAAAAATGTATAATCTGTATTTTATATTACTAGTATACAAACAAATAATTAATTTATCTGTCATAACATATACACATTTGTACAATAGCTATTATATATGTTAAATTGATTATTGTACACTATACATCTTATCTTAAAATAACTATCCTGTTATGTTCAATTTAATACAATAAATTGAGAATCACTAAATGCGCTGACGACAACAACCCATGATGGGGGTAATTAAAAGTAATATAAAAAGGCGCTGATTTTCTAAGAGAATCCAATTCTCTCTTCTTTTGAAGGCCTGAATTCAATAAAGAATTCAGGATTCTTCTACTTGATTTATTTTGAACAAACTAGCCGCGACCCCGTGTTGTCGTCGGTACATTTTACAGCGATATTGAATACAATTATTTTGCGTTAACACTTTATTTATTTAAAAGAGATAGTATAAATATTTACGCAAACTTTGACGATCTTTGTACAAGCCAAATAAAAAAGTAAGTAAATTTATATTAACCCAATTATTTAGAATTAATAATCTGAGTAAAGAATGATAAAGCAATAGATCACATATTTATATTCAAACTTTATTAATTGTTGTTGACTAGTTCGTACCTTATACATAATCACATTACATGGTATTCGTGAGATGGCCACCGCCTCTTCGTTGCCTAAAAGAGTTTAAAACCTAATGTGATTTCTACTGTATATATAAACACTTCGACTGGGTATTCGTGAGATGGCCACCGCCTCTTCGTTGCCTCAGTGTATTATTTCAGGTACTTACCAGTTAGATCATTTGTAATATCTCTATAGAGAAACTTTAGTAAATTCTTTTTATATCTACTTGTCTTTATTGTTCTAAACCCTCGGACTCTACTACCCCGATAGAACCTCGTTGCTCCTGAATTGACCAAATCCCTAACATCCAACCTTGGTCAAATAAAATTCCCCATACACCGTCAATGCTTATTTTTTTTGTATTACTACAACTATCTATTGATAGTCATAATTGATAATAAACAATCCGTGACTGTGATAGCAATATCATAAAAAATCAATTAGCTAACTGTATTTGTAATCCCTTGTGTATTATACCTATATATTAACTCAAAAAATTGAAACTTTAAATGTTTATATCTAATAAACGAATAAAGTTATATTAAAAATTAAAATGCCATTTACTATTGAATTAAAAACTCAAACATTTTATTAAATTCAAAATATGTGTTTATATAAAAGGATGCCGCCATGGTAATTAGTGTCATACGTCATCAAAAAGTAATAAATTAAGAGTGTTAATGGGTAATTAAATGGTTAATTAAGGTCAACCGTAATTGTTAAAGTTGTAAATCAAGTGTGTTATTGTTAAAATTGCGATAATAATGTGTGTTGGCGGAGGGTAGGTGGTCAGCTGACTCGGCGTTACGTCGTTGTCGGTGTCACGTATGCAGCAACGCGTGCCCCTCAATCAGGAGCATCACAGGTGTTACGTAATATAATCGCCCTTAAGGTCCACACGTCACATACAATAATGTTAAAGACTCTGCCCCTGCCTACACCCTCCCACCGGACTTGTATGTCAAACGGTCGCGCGTTATATTGTGTCAAAAATAAAAATTTTTTTTTTTATTATTATCTTTAGTTACACATTATTTTTGAATTATTCACTATGTAATACTTTTTATGTTCATCCCTTATATCTGGTAAGGGTGTCAACTTTGTTTTTTTAAAATGGTAACACGTATTTCTAATTTAATAAAATGTTTGAGTTTTTAATTTAATAGCAAATGGCATTTGAATTTTTAATATAACTTAATTCGTTTATTAGATATAATCATTTAAAGTTTCAAATTGTTGAATTATTACACAGGTATAACACAAAAGGGATTACAAATATAGGTAGCTAATTGGTTTTTTATAACATCGATATTAGCAGGTACATAGCATTGTTATTATCAATTGTAGTAAGGCACATTGTTATGAGTTTATAAATACACTAGCTGACAATACAGAAAGTATATCTATTGATAATCATAATTGATAATAAACAATCCGTGACTGAGACAGCAATGTCATAAAAATCCAATTAGCTACCTGTATTTACAATCCCATGTGTATTATACATGTATATTAACTCAAAATTTTGAAACTTTAAATGTTTATATCTAATAAGCTAATAAAGTTATATTAAAAATTCAAATGCCATTTACTATTAAATTAAAAACTCAAACATTTTATTAAATTAAAAATATGTGTTACCATTTAAAAAAACAAAGTTGACCACCCTCCAAGGCATAAGGGATGAACTTAAAAAGTATTACATAGTTAAAAATTCAAGAATAATGTGTAACTAAAGATAATAAAAAAAAAAAAAATGTTTAAATTATAATTATTCTGCAAGTAATTGAGTGGGTTATGATAAAAAAATCACCCTGTATATGAAATGTAGGTTTTTTTTTTTTTTGATGAAAAAAAAATGCATTTTCCAGGTACGCTACACGGTAACGGTAAAAAGTACGAATTTTAAATGTCGAATCCGCTATTTTTATATACGACATGCACATATTTAGATAAAAACTACGTATGAATGTTTATTTTACCTAATTTGTAAAAAAAACAATCATTTGTTCAAAACAGGCATGGTACCAGATGGCTTTATAGATGACTATATATTTTTATACTATCGTATTTGAGATGAATACAGCAGATGGCTTACACTTGATGGCGACGATGCTGTAATTTTTATCGAATGTTAATTGTTAATATATGAGTTAATGAACTGCGCCTGACCATTATTCGTATAGTGAACAATAAATCAGTATTTTTTTGTCAACAATATATATAATAATAATAATGACTGTTCCAGTTTTCTTATTATGAGATGTTTAGCAAAAAACATTCTTAAATAAGTACATTTTATTAAAAAAAAATTGTACTAATTAAAAAAAAAATAATAAATTTATAGTTAAATTTAATTTAATTAATATGAAATATTGCATGATAAGTCGGTTGAATTGGAAAGTCGACGGTTAATAATGAACTGAATTTATATATAATAAATATTATATATAAATAATATATATATTATAAATAATTAATATATTATGGTATATTATATTAAATATACCCAATGTTCTTTTAAATTATTTTTTACTATTGTAAGTTGAATGGTAGTTAAATAATAAGAAAAATTTGAGTTTACAAATAACAATACAGCATATTGTATATAATTTAATGTGTTAAATTTATTTAGTTATCACAAAACTGTATATGTTTAAATATAAATTCCATGGAACTTAACATGCGCGAAAACGAGACATAAATGTAATATTTTATCTATTTCAAAAGTAATTAGACGATCAACTGTCATTTTTATCATTAACACAGAAGAACATATCATAAATTAAATTTCATTGCATTTTTTTAATCAATGCAAGTATATAAAGTCTTGGATCTGTTTATTCATTCGAAAGAATTATAAGAGTGCAGTAGTTTGTTCTAACAACCAGATTTTGCGCAAAGAAATTTGTTGTAGTTACATTTTTCGTTTGATAAAAATTAAACTGTAAGTATAAAATTAATTATTGTAATTATATATGCTATTTTTAATGTCTTAATAGATTTTAAAAAATAAAAGTTTTATATTATCAAATTAATTGAACTCAAATGTTTTTTATTTTTGCAAACTTATTGGAATTCATATTATATAAATTTACATTATAACATTTTATAGTCTTAATTTACAAAGAATATTATAATAAAATGCTAATTATTTCAGATTTTATATCCACTAGCGATTACTTGCTGTTTCAATTGCATTTCGACGAACGGAAAACTTATACTGTAACGAATACTTGTTGCATCAACTGCATTTTGAGGAATAAATAAATAATGTAAGTTCTTTAAATTGTTATTTTAGTATTATAAGTTGATTATTAACCAAGAGTAAAATTTAATTTTTTTACTAATAATTTATTTGGCGTAAAAAGTTATTTTTCTATAAATAAAAATTCGTTTTATCATAATTATTGAATAACGGTAAATAAGTCTAGATATTTTTTTCTAAATTAAGTTATTATTTTTTATTTTAGTTATCATGCCGCAAAATCCTTTTATACCATTCGATTTTCGAAATATATTTTGTATGTATTTAAATAGAATTTTTACTTTGTTAAATAAAAATTTTTTTTAGTAAAATGGATGTTGTAAAAAAACTTAAGTCACAAGCTAAAAATGAATATGTCTCTATGTCATCATTACAATTGGATCGTCCATATCCAGTAACACAGCTGAGAGCTGTTGAAACCAGGTATGGACACTCCATAATTGCACGATTGGAAAATGGTTGCCAGTTATGTCTACCAAAATCTATATTTCTTTTCGATGAAGAAATAGTGCATTTTAATAGCAGTGAAAAAAAATTATGTTTAATATATCACGGAAAACGTGGTAAAGCATATAACTTTTCTTTTATATAATTCAAAAAATAATATAACGTTCATAATTTTTTTACAAACAATTAACAATAATTTACGAAAAACTTATAATTTATAATTAATTAATTATAGTCTATAATCTGATATTTATGTTATAACTTTATTTTACTAACATAAAATTGTATTGTAATTGAATGAAATAAAATTTTCCTAATAACAAATTATCATTTTGTTGATATTTTCACATTGTAAGTTTAAAACTTTATTAATAATTTATATTTATATTTTTAAATTTAAATTTATAAATAATAAATCGTACATATAAATATATNTAATTTTAATTTATAAATGATAAATCCTACACATAAATATATACATAAAGATAATCAAACAATAAATCTATTTAATTTATGTGGAGAGATTAATATCTCTTTATTTTATCTTCATTGTGAAAACAGACATTAAACTTAATAAAAAAAATACGATTTTTGTAAAAAAATTCTTTTTTATATTTTTAACTTTATAATGCTATAACTTCTCGAAAGATCTATGGATCAATATAATTCTTTTTTTTGTAGATGCATGATGTCTTTACCTATCATTTGGTATATTTTTTTTATAAATCTGACTTTTTACCTGCCTACAGGGGGGGATTCAAAATGACAACTTTTTCACAAAAAATTGACTTTTTCAACTTAAATTTTGAAAGTGTTCCGGAAAGTCTGACACTTTTATATATATCTTAAATTAAAGCTAATGTAATATATTTTATCATGAAAAAAAAAAAATTTCGGACTTTATATTGTCTTCATAGTGAAAATGGCTACCAAATGCTATTATTGTGTGAAAATTCTCAATTTTATTTTTTACATTTTTAACATTATAATGCTATAACTTATTGAAAAGTGTATTGATCAATATAATTTTTTTATGGGAAATACTATTTTCTAATAATCTCTTTTTTATTCGACATACTTTGTCTTAATCAGGATATTAATAAGGAACTAGCAGTTTATGAAGCTTTTGGAATAATCCACCAATTTTTTAAAATTAAACACTATCTAAAGATTTGCATCGAAGCGTTTTTTTTTGATAGTGATTTTAATCACTGTCAGATATCATTATACTTGATCCAACTAT